AGGGAAAGAATCTGCAATGACACAGACTGTGAAACTACTGACATCTATGAATTCACGCCTTTCCTCATTGACGTAAACTTGTAGTCCAAGGATCATTCTCTTAACTGAGTGGTGACAATAGAAACATCTCTATGCGTTAAAGAAAAAAAAATGTTTTTTGTAGAGTTGAGGGATAGATTTCAAACCAAAACACTATGCAAGAGAAAATCAATTTTAAAAATTGGTTCTGTTTTATATGGCTATTTTTTTAGACTCTAACAGTAACCTATTTGTTTTTTGAGTGACAGGTTGCATATCCTCCCCTCCAATTCTCTCTCTGTAAAAATGGCACCCATGACCTCACTGTCTCAAAACAAATGGGCATGTGAGGGGCAATCCTAGTCTCTACTGTTCTTTGCTGTTTTCCTTGAAGAGGCAAACACCAAGTAACCACAACGAAACGATCACTCTGGAGCACCGTCTACATGGAGACGGGGAGCGGCAACAACTCTGTGCATCCTTCAGTGAAACACCTGGAGACACTCTGGCTTGGAGGATGGGAAGTTGGAATCGCTTACCCGATGCACTCCTGGACTCTCATCCCTGCAAACGGCCACACTCTGAGATGTTAAAGCTGACAACTTTCCTTGGTAAATGTTTCTACCCAGGAAAACATTATTTCACCCACCATGAAGGCTTCTGGAAGGAGACACATTCGTCCCAAGCAGCAGAAGCGGTAAGGTTTGCAGAAAAAACAATTGGATATGCCTCCAAGAATACTTAACTTCTTTCTCATTTATCTACAGTTATTTTAAAAATCATACAGCCTATTAAATTAGTTTCAGTGCCTGTCTCTGCCAAAATAATGCAACTTCAGTAGACAACAAACAAACAAACCCCAAAACAAAGAGTCTGAATGGCTTACCTTTGATATGCCTGAGGAGAGGCAGGAGGTGTATTGAACACATTCGAGTGTGGGTGATAAGGTGTCTTTTTCAAAGCCTGAATTAGATTTTGTCTATACTCTGGGTCTATGCACCACAATGACCCTTTCCCGATACTCTGCAAAGAACAATAAAATACAAAAGTGATTAATATAGAGACAGTACCTACTGTGCAGTAAGTAGATGTATAACTCTCATCATAGTTACTTATTTTGAAAAGCCTCTCACTTCTTTGTTAACTGTCTGCCAGCCTTAACTACTGTACTATTGTCCTCTGACAACAGACCAGGCAATGCGTTTCTGTGTATTCACATTAAGTTTAACAAAATGAGTATGTTATTTCCAGGTGATGTTGCTACAATAATATTGTAATTTTCATATCCTACTGACCAAAACCCTCAGTTTCCTTATTATTTTTCAGTGTCAACTTTGAAAAACATATGTATCCCCCTTAAAAAGTGAGTTTTAAATTTGTCAGGTATCAAGGGTTGAGAGAAAAAGAGGGCAGATACACCCTCAAAACTCTATCTCTGCTTTAAAAATTCGAGGGTTATGTTTTCAAACCATATTACATTGGTGCCACTTTACAAAAACAGAAAAGTAATCCACTTGTTTTTTCCTGCTTAACAGAAGAATGACATTTAAGATTCAAATGGAATTCTGTAATGACCTTCAGAAAGAAACAAAAGAACTCAGGCAGCAGTGGTAAACCTTAGCCAGAATCCAGTACTTATGTTTTGATATCCTCCATATTCTGGATTTTGCTCCAGACCTGAATCTTCAGAAGTCAGAAACTTTTAAAATACAAATTTTATCAAACTGGTTCCATGGAAAGAGGGAGACTTGCTCGGAGGCCCACTTTCAGTTGGACGCTTTCGTTCTGGGCACACAGCATTTTATAAAACAAATGCAAGACCTGCCTCTGAGGCCCGCTGGATCTGGCGGCAGGCTGATATGATGGGCAGTCACTGTTCCGACTGCTCGCTTTCAAGTGACCGAATGTACCCAAGCTGCTTGATAAGGTCATTTGTAAACATTTACTGATTTGGAGAGAAAAGAAGTCAAATTATATGAACCCACACCCACCCCATGCTTCCAGCCAACGACTCTCTAATTTTCACAACTATTATACTACAGGAAGATTTAGAAAGCAAACAAGAAAATCATTTAACTATTATGCAGGGGGCAAAGTCCAAGAAAATCCCTTAGAAGGAGAACTAAAAATAAATTATTCCTAAAATCTTTAAAGTTTTAAAAATTTGTATTTCAGTCATCAGATTACCAGATAGTTTACTTACAAACTTATTCACAGAACCCCTTAAAATTCTTTACTATCAACACCACCAGTGCACTCAGCACAGGGAACTGCTCAAAGCCAAAGCCTCTGCTCCCCCTCCCCCACTGCTCCCCCCACCCGCCCCGCAAGTGCAGGCCTGACCCCAAACAAAGTCCCAGTCAGGCCAACCTGCCTGGGCTAAACACCAAAGCTCCCAGTTTAACCACCCGGATGTTTAAAGAAATGAAACATTTCAGTTTTAGAAAACTCAACACCCTTACGTGGTCTTTCCTTCCATGCATATGTTTTCAAGCCCAGAAGGGGGACTAATGACACTTTCCAGGTAAAGCAGGCAGGCCACCAATGATCAGCCCTGGACCTTCCATTCTGTCCTTTGGAAAAAAGCTGTGCGGCACACTTTTTAGAAGAAAGCAAAAGCCAAGATGCTGAGAGGCATGGGGGAAGACCAGTAACTACCAAATCTGGATAACGTAAAGCAAACCACAAAAGCCAGTCAACTCCTCGGCAGCAGGGGTCCTGGCCTGAGTCCATCAAAGGCTCCCTGTCGAGCCCTGTGCCAGTGGGACTCCCTTTCCAATCCCCTTGAAGACAAGGCTCCCAACTAACTAGTTGGAGGGCCAGGGCCCATGTGCAACCCAAACGTTTCTGCAATGAGATTACCCTTGTTCTGGGAACCACACGGGGCTTCTGTTTTCATCAAGGTGGCTTTCGGGGTAGGGCCGTTTAATCTTACAGGGAATAAAAAAAATATGACAAACAAATGAAGGGAAATAACAATAAGCCAAGAAGGTGGTTTTTCCTAATCCTTAGCACCCTGTTTATTATACTACACTACTATTTACCAGAAGAAAAAGGGGAAAACCCCGCAGGATTGGGGTGCGGGGAGGATCGCAAGGTAAGTGATCCAGGTACAAGAGGCAGAGGCCGAGCTACAGTAAGAACGGGAGTTCTAATGCCAGACAGATGTTTCCTGTGTGGCCTTGGGCAAATCAGGGTCCCCTAGAAAGTCCAGGCTTCCTCAGTGGCAAAATAAAGACCTCCTTAGAGACAGGTGTGCGGTCCAGCATGACAGCAAACACCTAGAACAGTGGAGAACGTACAGGCATTCGATAAATGGCGGAGGGCGGAGGGGACAACGAACAGGTCCTTTTGGACAGAAGAAAGAAGGCAAAGCTGGCTGCACCATGCTTTCCACATCTGGTTTTCCCATCTTGAAAGAATCACCAAATTCCAACAGAGGCAGTGGGTGGGGCCTCCGGCAAGCAGACCTTCCACGTGAGGACTAAGCATTAATCTACTGGAGTGCCATTGGTCCCAGCTCAGCAAGTACGCTCTGGAGAGCTTTCCTACTTTCTAAGACGCCCCACTTTATTTCCACCCCCCCCATCACCCTTCTATGAACCCCTCACTCCATGTTACTTCTCCCTTGCTCAGGAAGCCGATTCTGACTTCCCTACTAGAGGTTTTCTTTTGCTCGGGTCTTCGCACAGTGATCACCAGGCTAAGGTTTAATTCCAAACTTGGTCAGCCAGCACACATTCACAGTATCTTCACTGCAGGCAATGTGCCTGAGCTTGGGATCATCACGGTTCCTACCTTGATCAGTTCTGCATTTTACAGTGAGCGTGGTCTGGAACTGTGATAGATTTTCACAGACCAAACACTAATTTCAGTATCTCACACTCGGAATTTCCAGAGAGGAAAAAATAAGCCAAAAGGGCATCTTCAGGACGCACCCATGGGGACACTGTAGATCCCTCAAATCCCTCCAATGATTTTCCAGCGGAGAGCTCTAGGCAGAGCTTGGAAGGAGCATGAAAGAGGCTGGCACCGCATCTTGTTTGCAAGCATTCTCGTTGGTTTCATGTAACAGTTCAGAATAGTAAAAAGGTTGACTTGAAAACTTTTAAAATGGAACTATGCAGAGCAGAGAATGCTCAAGTTTATTCGGCCAGGAAAAATTACATTTAGTGCCCATAACAGGGGAGAAAAGGGTGTAATTTGATCAGAGTTGTGTAATAAGTTTGAGGGTCAGAGCTTTTAGAATTATCTGCATCTCATCTAAAGAATATGGATTTCTTTTTTTGAACAATAATAACTGTGAGGCTCATGCACCATTAAATGTTAGGGAATTCAAGATAATAAGGGAAGAAAGATTTCTATTCATAGACACATTTTCATCTTTGAAAAATATATAGGTAATATATTTTTATAAAATATACATATTTTCTATATTATAAATATATAATATATAAAATGCATATTTATAAATACGTTTTTATTTATTTTATATATATATATTTAAGACAAAAACATGTCTGTGAAGGAAGGGAGAGGTGAAGGAAGATCTTTCTTACATAAGCACGGGTGTGTGTGCACGCACACACAGAGTTTGAGAAAACTAATGTGAAAAGGAAAGAGGAGTAAAAACATACAGATGAAGCCAAGTTGTTGTTGTTTTAATTAAAAAGCACCTGGGGAATAATAGACAATTCCTTGTTAGCAATAAAAACATCAGTATATAGCCAGGAAAAAAACACCAGGAGAACCTATATTATAGAAAGAACTGATTAGTGAGAAGGGTTTTTAAAAAAGAGAGAGATAAGAATAACAACTAAATTAAATCTTAAATCTAACTTCTAAGGATAACTTGTTTTTCCCTGAGAGGTCTGGATCCAGGGGCATCCCTGGCAGCCCATGAATTTCTCCCTGTTCCCGGAGCTCTGCAGACCAGCACTGGTCAGTCTGCCGAACATCGGGCGTTCACTGCGGGTCTCTTCACTAGGTTGTCCCTGAGGATAAACCGTATTTTAAAACATTGTTTACAAAATGTGGCCCATGATACATTAATGGGGCATGCAGTCAATGTAATGGGTCACAACCAGCACTGCCTTCATGAAACGGACTAGAACCAAATAGAACAGCTGAGAAAGCAACTGTACTAAAGTAATATTTCGTGAAATGTGTGTGTGAATACACCTGCGTGTTGGTGTACAGTGGATCACAAAGTAACATACACTTCTTACTGGGGATCTGGGTCCAAAAAGGGTAGTAAACACTGTTCTAGAGCAATGGTTTCCATTTTCTTCCTTCTCGTCACTTCTGAGGGATAAAGCCCTTTCCCAGCTGTAACGGAGGACTCCCTCAATGTGACTCCCAATTCACAGGGGAGGGACAGATGCTTGGGGATGGGGGTTAATGAGGCAGGACCCATGGCAAAATGGAGCAGAGAGCTGGATACGTGTTTCTGGTGACTCTGAAACAATGCCCCCCACTTTTTTTTAACCCTTTATTTTGTACTGGAGTATAATGATTAACAATGCTGCGTTAGTTTCAGGTGTACAGCAAAGTGATTCAGTTATACATATACATGTATCTATTCTTTTTCAAATTCTTTTCCCATTTAGGATATTACAGAATATTGAGCAGAGTTCCCTGTGCCGTACACTAGGTCCTTGTTGGTTATCCATTTTAAATATAGCAGTGTGTACACGTCAATTCCAAACAATCCCTTTTGATGTTTCTGATATGCCATTTCCACGGATGTTTCCAACACCACCCACCCTCTTCCGTTCCCTCACCCATAGGGTACCCACTGTATGCCAGGCACCATGGGGGTACATTAGTGAATACAGAACAATACGATAAGGCAACTGCTCCCTTGAAGCTTGGATTCTGGAGGGGGAAGGAGACGGTAAGTAAGTCAAGAAATAAGTAAGCAAGATTATGACAGACTGTACTGCCTGCTGTGAAGGAAATAAAGAGAGTTGTGAGTTGGAAGACAGGAACTTGCTGCTGTGTGAAAAATAAAAGGGTTGGGA